GCCCACGGAACGCCCTATGCCTTCGGATCCCCCTTTTCAGCACACGCACACGCACTCCTAATGCCGAAGACACGCTCCAAGCCTGAGCAAAAACTTTAGGGAGTGCTCTCCAGCTTGTGCCACGGATGCGATTGCCCCATGTTTAAAATTAAGTTGAAAGAAGCTTCAAGCCGTCAAGACCAAAGCCACTCAGGTGTCGTCCTGGTAGCACTTGCTGGTTCCTGGTTCCTTTCTTCGTCCGGCACCTTTCTCTGAACTAGTTGGCGCCAGATGCGACAGTCCACGTTCATTAACCGCAGTGGTTGTTGCAGACCATGCGCAGTAAACTGTCAACACCGATGCCAACACCTGGTCCTACAAGACTTCGTTCCCGTGCACTATGCAAGACTTTATATAAACCTTTGCCCTGAACCGCAAGCCCTGAACCCTAGACCTTGAATCCTACGCGCTGATATTATGATATATGTACGAGCTTGAATAACTGTGCTGCCCCCTTACAATTTCTTACATCTATAGCAGCAAAACCCTCGGCCCAAACAGTCCGGCTTGTTCAGTTCTCAACATCACAACCACACAAAGCTCCGGAGCTCCCCTCGATGGTTTTGGGATCCTCTTCATTGAGCTTTCGTCTGACCTGAAGACGTCTTCCAGTTAAGGGCGCATGAAGAGACGGACTCTTTCTCAAGCCCGTGAGCCCCCCAGCCAAGCTCTCAAACCGTTCTAAAGCCAAGACCCCCAGAGACCCGTTCTAAACCCTAAACCCTAAACCGTTTAGGGTTTAGGGTTTAGGGTTTAGGCATCTCTAAAGCCTAAACCATCTCAGGATCTCAAACCCAGTTGAAGGCTCCATGTGTAGGACCTAGGGCTTTCGGGTGTAGGGTTTTGCGGGTTTTTAGGCTTCAGCCCGAAGCCATCTCTGGTTTTGGTGTGCTTCAGTTTGGGGTTAGAGTTTAGGGTTTAGGGTTTGAGGCGGGTCCTGATTCCTCGTGTCTCCTCCGATTTCGATGACCAAGAGACATCTGAAGACGAACTCAGGAAGCAGGGTCTGGGATATTTCTTCTTCGTTTTGGACTTCCGGGTTTTGAGAGTTTGGGATTAGGGCCCCAAACCCTAAACCCTACACCCTAATACTTTAAACGCTAAACCCTATAAAGCCTACAAGCCCTAAAGCCCTAGACCCTAAACCCTAAAATACTATAAACCCTAAACCCTAAAATACTATAAACCCTAAACCCTAAAATACTATAAACCCTAAACCCTAAAATACAAGAAGCCCTAAACTCCTAAAATACTATAAACCCTACAAACCCTAAAAAATACTATAAACCCTACAAACCCTAAACCCTGCTTCAGGTAGGACCTTAGGATTGAGAGAGTTTTTTGGGAGGTTGGGGCTCCTCACTGTGCTAATTGCCGTCGGATGTCTGCTTGAATTCGGGTTTAGGGTTTAGGGTTTAGGGTTTAGGGTTTAGGGTTTGGGGTTTGGGGTTTAGGATTCGGGGTTTAGGATTTGGTGTTTAGGGTTTAGGGTTTAGGGCTTCCAGGTGAACAGGGAGACCTCAACCCCCAAACCCCCGCACTCCTAAGTTTGAAAGTTTCGGAAAGGTAGCACCCTAATTAATGGAGTCCTCTCATTCTTCCCGACCTGGGCTGGAGAATTCGTCTCATGATTCCCCAAGAAGCATTGCCTTTAAGATGCCTGTAGCTTTAGAGCTTTAGAATAAGCTCTGAGACATGGGTACTCCATGACACGGAGACCTTAGGTTTGGAGTTGGCTGAGTTTGCCAGCTCATGGACGTGTCCCGAAACCCTGAACCCGCAGACCCTAAACCATCCCTAAACCCCAGACCCTAAGACCATAAAACCCTAAGACCTGCAAGGCCCTATACACTCTTGACCCTAAGACCCGAAACCCTAGACCCGAAGCCCCCAAAGGCCCTAAGATCCTAAGATCCCTATAATAACCCTAAGACTCGAAACCCTAAACCCTAAACCCCAAAACCCTAAAACCCTAAGATCCCATAAAACCCCTAAGACTCTAAAAGAAAGGCACTGGTAAGGCCGCCTCCTTCGCTGGAGCTTTCGTTGATGCTGCCGAGCACTCCGTCGACGAGTTCATTGAGGAGGACCTGATGAGCAAATCGTGTGTTAGGCTGTTTAGGGTTTAGGGTTGAAGGTTTATGTAATATATTAATGTGCGATGTAATATACCTAATAGTTATATTCGTTAATAATATACGGCATTATGTTCCGTTACATTATTCTACGGTCTAGTCTAGTCCAGTCGAGCCTAGTATAGTATAGTAAAGTATGGTAGAGTATGGACTTGTCGTAGTAGAAGGGGCTTTTGGTCTTGCTGCGTATTCCGAGTGTGTTATCGAGCCCCTTAGAGAATCTGGGTTGCCTACACAGAGGCCAAGACGTTGTTTTTTTTTTTTCGGTCGTTGGTGGTAAGATCAGGTGCCGTGCACCCTAAACCCCAAAACTCAGAAGAGTACTTGTGTTCTACCGGACCGGCGGAACCTTTAGGGTGAAACTCTGAACCCTAAACCCTCAGTCAGAGGACTTGCAGTTTCGAACTTTTGGTTTACGCATCGGGGTTGAGGCTCAGATCCACGCAAAGCACGATTGAGCAATGTAGCGTCTGAATGAATACCAACACTATTCCTTTGCTCTAGCTAAGGATGCTGCAAAATATACCCAAAACCCAATTCCAATGATCAACGTACCTCCTATTGTGGCGCTTTGGGGGGTCCATGGTGGGCCAAGGCCCGTGGTCTGTAGACCCAGGGAGTAAGGCTACACCACGAGAATGAAGGTTGCAACGCTTGCAACTTAAGGTGATTTAGGGAAGCTACTTCCGCATCTGGCCGCAGCAGACCCTAAACCCAACGGCCCCAAGCCCTAAACCCAAACCCAAGGCCACAAACCCTAAACCCGAAACCCCGAACGCTGGATCCCAACGCCCTGCGCCAAATACCCAAACTCCAATCAGCTGCAAAAGCCCTGTCACTTGCTAAGCAAGACTTGGCTCTCTGCATTCCCGGAAACGGCATACACACTACCAGCATGGAATCCACCCTTCTTACGGCCTAATCCCATTAATAAAATCCCCCGTGTTTTGGTATCCCTAATGACAGTGGTTTAGAGTTTCGGGTTTGGTGTTTTACATCGAAGTGTAGGGCTTAGGGTTTAAGGAGGTGGTTCTCGAGCATCGAAGTCAGCACCTTAGTAACCAAGCATAGGACCTGTAACCTGTTTGCCCATTATCTCTGTATAATCCCAAAAGTTTGACCCCTAAACCCTGAACCCAAAAGTTAGGTCCCCAAGAAACTGGATAAGTAAGACACTATGCGAGTAATGCCGATGCAGAGGTCTAGCCTCTTCGAGCTGCTCCCCTTGTCCGCGCAGTTTCCATTGCGGGAGTATACTTGGAATAGGGTTCTGTATAATGTACTCAGGTCGGCTATAAATATGAACCACGAAGTATAACAGGCCTTAATAATCAGACCCCCGGTCTTCTAAGCCTCAGGATTTTGTGTCCATGGGCATGCCGAAAGAGCCTCACCTGGAGGGAGGCTTCCAGCCTCCCACAGTGCTGCCACTCGCCACGTCTCGGTCGCCTTCAACCTATACTCCCAAAGGGTCCTAAGTACCTGTATAGTAGAAAGAGGGTTTCTATAGTAGTAATTACTATTATGGTTCGGGTAAGTAGCCCCCATGTAGGTAGGTACTTAAGATTCAAGAACCTGTGCAATAAGCCTGGATATTGTTTTCTTAGGGTTTCTTTTAGAATTCTATACCAGGGTATACCGCAATCCCCAACCTAATTGTGAAGGCCCTCAATGCTAGATTTTCTTGAGATTCAGGCACCAACGCATCCCTGAGCTAAAACCGGTCTGCTCTACCACGCTCAGCACCACGGGTGCTTGGGTGTGTGTGGACCTGGGATGTCGGCGCCCGAAAGAAGAGTCTTCAGAAGAAGGGCCCCCTCAATGTCCCACAGCTTCGCGCCTCCTACCTGATTTTCAGGAATTCAGCTTCGGACACTTCTGCTAGGCCTCATGCGTTTGCTGCAATGCGTCAAATGCCAGGTTGCAAAGCAACAGCACGGAACCCTATGACTTTGACAACGACAACTGCCGCGGGCAGTTCTTGCTTCTTGACTTCATGAGGTGAAGGGTAGGCATTGGCAGGGTGTTTCTAGATTTCGGCTCAGGGTCATTTTTGTTCGGCTTTGGGCTAGTTTCCGTCAAGCGCTAGCCAAGTCTAGGTGCAGGTCAGTTTACCATTCTAGTTTGGCATGTTGAAAGCCCTGCACGCGCAAGACCGCGCAACAGCGTGTGCAAGGACTTTCAAACGCCTAGGCGTCGACAGTTTAGTTTAGATCAGTATTTTCGGCACACGCACACACATACATACATACATACATACATACTTACTTACTTGCTTGCTTGCTTGCTTGCATGCATGCATGCATGCATGCATACATACTTACAGACATACGTACATACATACGTACAAATGTGCGTACAAATGTACGTACATGCATCCATGCAAGCATGTGCATGCATACATGGATGCAACATGTACCAATACATGTGTGTGTGTATATGTAAATACACCTGCATGCGTATATAATGTACATGCATGCATGCATGCATACCTACATTCATACCTACATACCTACATGTACATACCTGCATGCATATTACACACATACATACGAGCGTACTTACTATGTCCTTACTTATCAACACAACGCAGCGAACAACGAAAGGGTCACATGTTGTGTTCAGATTTCTGGCTCGCCTGGTTGAAACGGAGGCGCCGCGCCTTCAGGTTCAGGTCCCAAGACTGCGCCTGTCTTCCCTAAAGACCCAAACAACATCCCAAGCTTTCCATCCTAAAGCCAAAGTGTGTAGTGAAGCCACAAGCCTATGAGTTCTAAACACCAAGAGAACCAAGCCCCATGCTCAGTTGGGAAGCTTACCGCCCAGGGCTTTGCACCGCCCTACCCATGACAGCAAGCTGAGTGAGTCGGGGCGATACCGTGCCTCGTCTGGGTTCGATGGTCTTCGCAGAGATTACGATTCGGGAGGTCGATGATTGGTGTGCTTCAGTGTTGTAGCCGTTCAAACAAAGAGCAACACTTTGAGGGCTCGGGATCGTTTTGGCTTTGGGCAATGAATCTGGGGTCTTGATATCTGCTTTGTTTACAGAGCTTTAAAGTAATCTTAGGATGTACGGCGTCTACGGCTTCGTGGTAGCTTGTTGTCAGCTTCCAGATACTCCCAGATGATCGAACCCAGGGAAGTTTTAACTTTCTGGTTTGTCTTGAGGACTAGTAGAGCCTTGATGGCTGGAGGGAGGTTAAGAGGTTTGAGGTACAAGCCCGATACTCCGAGCACTCAGCCCCTTACAATGCCCTGAAGCCCTACACCCTACACTTCAAGCAGAAACTGCTTAATCCCTAGCCAGAGAGCCTAAACCGCCGAAGCTCAGATACAAGACAATCTAAACACTGAGCCCCAAATTAAAGCCTTGTTGCCAAACCCTGCCTCAATGCAGGTTACGGAGAGCACTTCAAAGGCAAGAAGCGACTGTGGGAGCTTCGCTTCCGGTTTCAGCATCCGAGCTTCCCATGAGCACAACTTTTTTGGTATTCGTTTGGTGTTCTGGTGCTGTTGTTGTGTCAAGTTGTTTTGTTGTTTTTGTTTGCCTGTGTGAAGCTGGGGAATAATTGAGGGGGCGGGTGTGCGGGCTTTAGACTGCAGTTTAGGGTTTTGGGTCCAGACGGCCTTAGCTGTTTTGCGTTTCGTCGTAGCTATTTTCATGCAGAACCACCCTAAACCCGAAACTCTACATAAACCCTACTTATCAAGTAGGGGTGTAATTGTGTAACTTAAGCCCAATAGGTTGTCTTGAGCTGATCAGGCTTGAAGCGGCCGTCTGGGGTTATCCTCCTAAACCCTAAACCCCTAAA